TTTAATGAATAAATATAATTTTTTAATTTTCTTAATTCTTATTTAATGTAAAAATGAAACAAATTAAATGGAGGATGAAATTGAAAATAATTTTGGAAAAAATAGGTGAAAAATTAGGTTCTGTTGGTATTTTTTAAATAAAAATCAGAAACTATGGGTCAAAACACAATTTAAGAAATTGTGCCACGTAGGACACCCAGTAAATAGCCCCGATGAACCGAAGCGCGCTGCGTGGTAAGAAACACTGACGCGGTGCTACGCAGGAGGCCACGCTGGCGATTCCCATGCTTGCGATCGAATGGTCTGGATTCGTCCCAACGTGCACGAGCGATCTGGATCCGTTCCCTCATTAGACGCGATCGGACGATCACGATTAAATATGATGAATGGTCCAAATCCACTTCCTATTTAAATGCGATCGAACGGTCCAAATCAAATCACGATGGACGATCCAAATTCACTCCCTATTTAATTGCAATTAGACAATCTAGATCAAACGTGATGGATGGTCGAGATTAAAAGGAGACGGATATAAATAACTCTCTTCACAGCAAACTCTACTCATAGCCGCCAGACACCCCCACCGGAGAAAAAGAGCCAGCCGTCAAGAAGGAAGTCGCCACCTGCCGTGTTAGGGCCACTTCCGACCGCCTAAAGAGGTAAAAAAAAAAAATTTCACTCGAAATTCAATTTTAAACACTTCCGTAGCCAAATTGGAGCAAAAAAACTGGTAGATTGCCCAGAAACCGCAGGCAAAACCCGGCAGCGCTGCCGCGAGAAATTGTATAAAATGCCTCCGATGAGGCCTTTTTTTATTCCCATTCTGCGTAATTCTTTCACCATTATAATCACTGTTATGTAATTCATTGATCTATTTTCTCAACTTTTTCATCTCAACACGACTCATGCGGTAAGGAGCAATCGAAATAGGCTGGGTGCCTGACTGAAGGTATATGGTGAATTCGACTTCTCTGTCCACTAGTAGTACAAGTAATTCATTCGAGAACACATCCGAAAAGTCTCGGACTATTGGAATCTCTTCAATACAAATTTTTTTCATGAGTTTGTCTAGTTAGAGAAAACAGCCAAGTTAAAGCACTTGATAATAAGAAAGTTTGCCATGAGGGAATAAATGTTAAAAAATTTTATTAATTTGTAAATGACTTCTTATTAGGAGGGTTGAATACAACATTCTTATAAAAATAATTTATGGTGGTGTGATACGCCGCTAGCTAGTTCATTCCTAATATTACATTAAAATCTCTCATGTCAATTTCTATTAGGTTTACTCAATTTTCTATCTACTATATCTATGACACAAGTTCTGTATATAATCTCCTCTAGTAGTGTTATACTCCCAGGAGTAGATACAAATAACACATAATTAAGTCTTTCAGGTAATATATTTAATTTTGATGCAAAAACATGTGAAATAAATGAATGTGAGGCATCAGTATCAATCAAAATATGTGCAAGATGGTTACAGATAGTGTACGTACCATGTACCACGTCCGGACTAGTTTCTGCATCTTACTGAATGAGGTTGTAAGCCCTGTCCTGAATAGGAGGTCTGGCCTAATTCTGGTTTCTCAAACACTCTCTTGCATAATGCTGGGCACTACCACATATGCAACAGGTATTGTTGAGGCGATAACAGGGTCGGTCCCCATGATCCTTGCTATAGTGTTGACAAGTCTTACAGCATCCTATTGTTGGAATTTAAGGGGGAGCCTGAGTCATCAGCCTGGGTCTCTTGTTCTGTTGAACAGGTGTCGTAGGTGCTGGTCTATGGTGTGGAGCCGAGGGACTGAGGTTCCCCACTGCTGGAGAAAAAATGCGAAGGTTCCTCTCCACTAACTATGCATTGGCCAGAACAACCGAGTAAGTATTGAGTTCGAACACATACAATTGCTGTCTGATCTCAGGACGGAGACCCCACTCGAACTTTGTTGTCTTTCTGCCTTCATCCATCATGCTCTCAAGGGAATAACGGCCCAACTCTAGGAACTTTCGAGTATATTCTAATATCGTCATGTCCCCTTAGACTAGGTGTGCAAATTCCATTTCCTTCAGATGTCGAAGATGCTTTGGAAGGTACTCTGCATGAACGACCATCAAAAATTGTTCTCAAGTGACTGGAACAGGTAGGGTGGCATGCTTGAGTTTCCACTAGTGGTCTGTCTCTCCCACCAGCATGTAGGTAGAAAGGATGACTCTTTGTTCGGGAATCACCCCAAGAGTCATGAAAGCCTTCTCTGTCTCAGCTAACTAGTACTCAGCCTCTTCAAAGGAGGATCCCTCTACAAAATTAGATAGGTTTAGTCTTTTATACCTCTCAATGTAGATTAGTTCCATCATGGGAGGAACTAAGTCCTGTGGAAGAGAGATTGGACTGTGCTGATGATGGACTAGATGGCCCTGTGGTGGTACTGGATGATACGGTGGAGGCACCGGATTGTACTGTGGTGGTGTTGGGTGATGCGGTTGGAGTACCGGGGCATACTGTGGTGGTGCCAAGTGGTACTGTGGCTGGGGCACCAGATCATACTGTGGTGGTACTGGGTGGTACTGTTGAGGAGCAGGGTCGTACTAGGGTGGCTCAGGATATTCTCACTGCAGGGGTGGCTCAACTTGTGGCAATGGGGGAGGGTCAGGTAGCTCCCTTCTTTCCTCCTGGGCCTGTTGGGCAGCGATGAGTCTCTCTAGCATTTTAAATAATCGGTCAAAATCGAAGCGAACCCTCTCGGGCTGCTCGGTTTAGTTGGGGTCTTCATCTCCTCATTTATCTATACCTGCATTTCATAAGAAACGGTTGAGTGATAATTCATTATTTTTGGTGTTTTCTAAGGATTTTGTGTAAGGAATGATTCTGAAGAACGCAGCTCTGATACCAACTATAATGACCCCGAAAACTCTAAAGGAGATAAATTATAAATTTAGTGCTGAAGCGAAATAAATAGTTAGGGTTTACATCCTTTACACAATAACTGAAAGTACCAAATAGGGCTTACGAGCATAACCTTTTTAAAAAAACAACTAATAACTAAAGAAATAATTTAAAAGTGAATAAACTGAACGTTCTACTCGCAACCCTCTTATGGATCGGGCTCTGGATCCTAGTCCTTTTTATATGAAATAGTTAATGAAATAGTGAGCTACACTAGCCCAGTAAGAATAACATGCTACTTAGTGACACAGAAATAAAGGTTAATAGAAATTATAAAAACAACTAATAGAGCTCTTAATTAAGTAAATTTATTTATTATAAATAAAATTATGTACCACCTACTTATCGTAGCGAGATTTATAAAAACAACCTATAGAGTCAATAACATAATACATATCATAATTTTATATGCAATCAGTTGGAACAACAATTTTCTATTTTATCAGCCTACTAGTATCCATGGGGGTCTATATGGATGTCTCCACTACGTGTGAACCCATTTTTTTTTAACATTTTCAATTTAATGGGCCGTCCCCATACCTTGTCCGGTATGAGTGCCAAATTACCAAAATTCGATACCCCATCCGGTATGAGGCAACATTCATGGTAGGGTTCTTCATGTACCCGGTCTGTCCATCATCTCTCAGGATATCCAGTGAGGCTGTCGTTTCATCCACCCACTTAATCAAATAATTTTTCATTTACCTTTAATTTTTAGTTTCTCAATTTAACTGTAATCACATAAAACAAGTAAAAGATGCATCAAAGGAATACAATCGCATCATCATACCAATTTCAGTGCATTATCATGTACTTAAAAATTATAAAATTAGGTAATCGGTTAAACATAGTAATAATAACTGGCTCCGACTCCATCATTAACCTGTAATTAAATATAAGTATTTTCTAAATTTTATAAAATATCATATTATTTAAAATTAGACTTCAATTCCATAACAGGAAATAAAGTGTGAGATTCTTACTCAAATTGATGTCCGAAATACTAAACTTTTGATTGTGCCTACTAACGGTCCCCTGGTTCCATGAATTTTTCTTTTAGGGATTAAAATGCGCTTCAAGTACCTAGAAATATCTAAAAAATTCAAATAAGTTTTAGAAATCCTTTTTGGCCAATTCCAGAATTCCGGCACGGTCACTCCGTCATGCTCCGGCGATGGCACCACCGTCTGCGGCGGTGGTTTGCCTTGGGTTGCTATTTTCGACAAAATTTGATTGATTTTGTACCAATCCTTGCGAGAAAACACGTTAATGGGTCTCAGTTGAGTGAAAAAAGTTGAACTACCGAAACTAAACGGCGGCGGAGTTCTCTAGTGCGGTGGCACCGCCGGCTCACATTCGCGGTTGGGTGTTTTGCTTCGGTCAATCTATAGAGAAGGATCGGTGATTACAATGGCGGAAGAATTATACAGAACAGGTGTAGCGCCCGGAAAGGGTGAAAAAAAAAAGCCACGTCGATAGCCACATTAGCAGACCCAGTCAGCAGTCCTGGCCAACCGGGACCTGCCACGTGGTAAGACCACGTCGATCTGGGACGGGCCACGTTGGCGATCCGCGAATGCGCGATTGGACGATCCAGATAAGCGTGCGATCGGACGGCCCAGATGCAATCGCATGGACGGCCCAGATTCAATAAAAAATGGACGGCCCAGATTAAATCAAAATGGACGGCTGAGATCAAAAGGCAAAAGGGTATAAATAGAACCCCCACACCAGACCACAAAACCCTAGCCGCCTGCCCTCGCCGGAGAAGACGAACCAGAAGCCGGCCGCCGCCACCCGCCGCCGCACCGGGGAGATTTCCTACCGCCGATCGAGGTAAATTTCATACCCCCGACTAGTTTTTCCACGCTGATTTCCCCTGTTGCCAAATAGGAGCCAAAATCCCAGCCAAACGGCTGAAAAACACGGCCGAAACCCAGCGGCGCCGCCGCGCCCCTTCTCGGTTTTTGCCTCCGATGAGGCCCTTCCCGGCCTCCGTTTAATGTAATTTTTATATCACCGTGATCACCATTCTTTTCTCTACAGGTTTATCGGAGCCGAATCACCAAAACACGAACTTCACTGGAGAGCCGCCGCACCCGAGAGCACCGCCACCGGTAAGCTTCGGTTTTCTGTAATTTTTTGGCCCCCAAAAAATTCAGGGAAAATTATGGACAACCTGTAGGCGCACTGTGAAGCCGTGTTCGGACCCCGAAACGAGTAAGGACCCTTCACCCTATCTCCTATCACGGTATTAAAGTTCAATAATGATAAAACGGTATTTCTTGAGTCAACGAATGTGTGAAATTGCTTAAGGTCGCTAATGAAGCCCGAGTCTAGTGTGTTTGTCGGTTAACTGTTATTTGGCCTGTTTATAGTTTTAAATGCAGCATGAGGTTTGATGTTTTCATTTATAGTTTCGTGTGCATATTTTACTGTTTTACTGATTATGGATTGAATGACTGGGATATTGATGCTGTATGTTGTCTGTTTGGGCATAAGTTACCGTTTTGCTTGTTTGTATGTGGATTGATGATGCTGACTGAGGGAAAAGAGAATGAAAGATTATGTAAATGGGTAATTGTATAATGTGGTCAGCCTGACTAGATATCCTGGGAGATGGTGGACGGACCGGGTCCGTAGGGAACCCTACCGGGATTGTGGTCTCCCATACCGGACGGAGTATGGAGATCTTATGTGTTTTGGCGCCCATACCGGACGGGGTATGGGGACGGCCCGTTTCACCCTCATACCGGACGGGGTAATGAGGTTTATAGTTTTGGCGCCCATACCGGACGGGGAATGGGGACGGCCCTGGAAATGATTTCAAGTGTTAAGGGTTAACGGGTAGCGGGACCCCTATGGATCCCCATGGATACTAGTGGGCTGGTAAATGAGGAAAATATGTTGTGTAACGATTGAATTACAAAAGGCTTGATAAGTATTATGTTATACAGTTCATATATGATTTCATGATGATGATAATGTTATTACTTTCGTATACTGTTTTATGGATTCCATCGAGGTAAGTGGATGGTGAAGGATTTATTATTGATAAAAGAATTTGTTGTAAATTATGCTCCATTGGTCTTTTTGTGTTTTCTACCCACCTTTACCTCCATGACGGTGAGATATCGTGATGTCTTTACTGGGCTAGTACAGCTCATTCCTTATTTAATCATTTCAGATCAGGAAGACATCGTTCCCGAGCCGGTTCCGCAGGAGGACGACGAAGAGGACGCCTAAAGACTCCATAGTCATATTCGTAGCTTTTACTTTCAAGTTTCTCCTTTAGTTAGTTTGATCTTTTATATTTTGTGAGCACGTTTTTGGTTTTAGTGTAAGGGATGTTAATCGAATTTTGACTTCGCTTCCGCATTTGATATTTTTAATATACATTTCATTTTATATTTCCGGAGCCGTTACAACAGGAATCAGAAAGGGCCTCATCGTAGGCCTTTTTTGCAATTTCCTGCGGCAGCGCTGCTGGGCTTTGTTCGTTATTTTCGGTCAATTTACCGGTCCTTTTGCTTCGATTTGGGCATAGGGGTGTTTAAAATCGAATTTCGAGCAAATAAAATTTTTTTTTAACCTTTTTTGGCGGTCAGAAGTGACTCCTGCATGGCGGCGGGCGACTTTCTTCCTGATGGCTGGCTCTTCTTCTTCGACGAGGATGTCTAACGGCTAGGGTTAGAGTTTGGTGTGAAGAGAGTTATTTATATCTGTCCCCTTTTAATTTGGATCGTCCATCGCGTTTGATCTTGATCGTTCAATCGAGATTAAATTGAGAGTGAATTTGAGTCGTCCATCGCGATTTGATCTGCACTGTCCGATCGCGTTTAAATAGATAGTGAATCTGAACCGTTCATCGCGTTTAATCATGGCCGTCCGATCGTGTCTGAGGAGGGAACAGATCTGAACCGTCCGTGCGCGCAGAAACGAATCTGGACCATCCGATCGCGGGCTTGAGGATCGCTAGCGTGGCCTCCCGTGTGACACCACATCAGCATCTTTTGCCACGCGACGCGCTTCGGTTCATCGGGGCAGCTGACTGGGCGTCCTACGTGGCACAATTTTTTAAAATTACATTTTGACCCTCAGTTTTTTTATTTTTCTTTTAAAAATATTTTCAAAATCTAAATTTTCACCATTTTTTTCTAAAATTATTTTTAATTTCATCATTGATTTTATTTTTTTCATTTTTACATTAAATAAAAATTAAAAAAATTAAAAAAATAATATTTATTTATTAATTTTAATTACAATTAAAATTAATTAAAGCATTACAATAAATACATATTTTGCGGGTCTCCAAGTTGGATTTGTAAAACCTTCTGAAAAATTGAACACAATATTGGTTTTATTTTACGCGGCTAACGACAGGCAGAGGAGAGCGAGGAGACAAAAGCAAGGGCGGGGCGTAGACAGTGAACAGCGACAGAGGGAAGGAGATGAACCACAACCAGCAATCGAACGATGGAAAGCACGACGATGATGCTGCTCTATCTGAGTTCCTCGCATCCTTAATGGACTATACTCCCACCGTATAATTTCTCTTTCGTCCTTCATAACCTTTTTCTTTTTCTTTTTAACGATTTCTCTACAATCTATTTGTTGGTCGACATTTTTATTTTTCATATTTTGTAGATACCCGACGAATTGGTGGAGCATTACCTTGCGAAGAGCGGGTTTCAATGTCCTGATGTTCGATTGTAGGTACTTCCTTCTTATACTTCTAGTTTCTTTAATGCCATCTGTTTGGTTGCCTAGAAATTGGAACAAGAACTAGCTTCATGAACCTTAATTTCATTGGTTTATTAAGCTACTAGCATAAATTCCGAAAGGGAATCACGTTTACTTGATTAAATTGTCGTAGTGTTCGATTTTCGGGGTTCTCTCGTGTTTTCTCTGTGTACTAGGGTTCCGATCAGTCGGAAACATGAACCGCCAGTATCTCTTTCTTCTATTTGTCCTCACGTTATAAGCGATCAACCAGGTGCTAGATTCTTTGAATTTTAATTTTGAGTTGGTTTCGTGTATGAGTACTGTAATTGATGAAAGGAAATCATAAAACTAGGATTAATTTTGACTA